CTCTACGCTCATTGCAAAGAACAACAGAAAATGTGAGGATTTAGGGTTTAGGGTTTAGGGTTTAGGGTTTAGGGTTTGTTGGGGTTATACGGGGGCCGCGATGTGTAGCGTTTGTGGAGAGCAGCATCAGCAGCAGCAGTAGCAGCAGTAGCAGTAGCAGCATCAGCGTGTGCGTGTTGTTTGCATCTATGTAGACAAAAAGGGTTTAGGGTTTAGGGCTAGGGTTTAGGGTTTAGGGTTTAGGGTTTAGGGTTTGCTGCAGGCATAAGCGTGAGCGTTCGAGGTCGTGCTATAAACACTTTAGCTGGCACAGGGAAGCCTTCAGGCTCTGCATGGAGGAGTGGGGCATCGGAAGCAGCAGCAGCAGCAGCAGCAGCAACAGCAGCAGCAGCAGCGGCAGCAGCAGGTGGCGCAGCGGGAGCAGCAGCAGCAGCGGGCGACAGAGCAGGGGGATACTTGTCGTCTGCAGCGCATGGGTACGGCAGCAGCAGCAGCAGCATGGTGGGAGGAGTTGAGGGGTCTGCTGCTGCTGTTGCTGCTGCTGCTCTGTCTGATGAAGCATACCCTGATCTCAGTGTAGCAGCAGAGAGAGCTAGAAACGAGCTGCAGCGTGATAAACAAAAGACGAAGAGACCGAAGCCAACGAAAGCAGCAAAGCCTGCTGCTGCTGCTGCTGCTGCAGCAGGAGACACCGCAGCACCCCTCACTACACCTCAAGGGGCCCCCAAGAAGGTTGGACTGCAGCAGCTACATGAACTTCAGTCGGCTATGGCTGCTGCTGCTGCTGCTGCCAGACCCAGCAGCAGCAGCAGCAGCAGCAGCGGGTTGCTGGCTGCTGCTCCTAATGGAGCGCATGCTGCTCGCTTCCCTCCTCTTGTTGCTGCTCCTTTCAGTGCAGCAGCAGCAGCAGCAGCGGAGCAGCAGCAACAGCAGCAGCAGCAGCAACAGCATCTCCGCCGGGGCGCACAGCAGCAGGAGGCGCTGCAGCAGCAGCAGCAGCAGCAGCAGGAGGTGCTGCAGCAGCAGCAGCGGGAGTTGCTGCGGCTGCAAACAGAAGAAGGGCTGAGGTCGGACGCAGAGAGGGAGAAAGAAATGAAGCAAAGAGCTCTGAAAAAGCTGCAGGAGTTGGATGCTCGTCTTGCTGCTGCTGGTGCTGCTGCTGCTGCTGCTGCTCCTCAGCAGCAACAGCAGCAGCCAACTGATGCAGCAGCAAAAGAACAGCAGCAGCAGCAGCAGCACAAGCAGCAGGAGCAGTCTTGGAGGCAAATGCAACCACCGTCAGATGGCGCTGCAGCACAGCTGCCTCCTCCACCGCAGCAACAGCAGCAGCAGCAGCAGCAGCAGCAGCACGGAGTTAATGGGGCCCCCAGCTGGCGGAGTCGGCGCAACACCAACGACGAGCGCCGCCAGCAGCAGCAGCAGGATGAGGGGCAGCAGCAGCAGCAGCAGCAGCAGGGCAGAGGCCAAGAGGAGGTATTTACCCGCAGGCAGCGGCCTTTGTATGAGCAGCAGCAGCAGCAGCAGCAGCAGCAGAATGATCTCAGCAGCAGCAGAGCTGCCGCTGCACCCCGAGAAGAGCTGCAGTGGCGCAGCGGTGCTCGTCAGCAGCAGCAGCAGCAGCAAACGGAGTATGGTGCTTCTGCAGCAGGGCTTGCTGCTGCTGCTGCTCCGTCTGAAGATGGTGCAGCAACAGCAGCAGCACCAGCAGCAGCAGGTATGCCGCTAAAGCAGCAGCTGCCTCGGGGTGTATTGCCGCTGCCGGGTTCGTTAAGGGGGCGCCACCGAGGGATGCTGCAGGAGCACCTAGAGCAGCAGCAGCAGCAGCAGCATAGGCCGCAGAGCTGGAGAAGGAGTCAGGTCAGCACGGCGGACACCCAGCAGCAGCAGCAGCAGCAGCAGCAGCAACAGGAACCGCACCAGCAACAGCTAGCTCAGCAGACAGGAGGCGCTGCTGCTGCAGCGGAGAAGGCGGGGGATGAGAGTAAAGCGAAGCCAGCAGCAGCAGCAGGAACCACAGCAGCAGCAGGGGCTCCCTCTGCTGCTGCTGCACCTGCTGCGCGAGGGCTGCAGAAGACCGGCAAACTGTGGCAGGTGTGCAGCGCGTCGTTTCCTGCTGCTCCTGCTGCTCCTGCTGCTCCTGCAGCCGCTAGCAGCAAGCCAGCGGCAGCAGCAGCAACAGGAGCAGCGCCTGCGGCAGCGGGAGGGAAAGCAGCAGCAGGGCAGCAGAAGCAGCGAAGCGCAGCAGCTGCAGGACGAGCAGCAGCAACAGCAGATTTGTCGTTTAAAGCGCTGCTCTTCCCGAAGGGGCCTCAGCTGCGAGTTGCTGCAGCAGAGCAGCAGCAGCAACAGCAGCAAGGCGACGCAGCAGCAGCAGATCAGGGGACGCAGCAGGCGGGTGGCGTTGATGGGCAAGGGCGCAGCGGAGACAGTGCAGCAGGAGATCAGCAAGGCAGCAGCAGCAGCAGCAGCGGCAGCGCAGCAGCAGCAGGGTCCCCAGCAGACAGCAGGCGCAGCCAAGCACCGAGGGGTTGGGGGGAGAGACCGGAAGCTGTCTCCTTCCCTCTTGCTGCTGCAGCAGAAGATGCCTCGTGGCCTGCCCCTGATGCAGCAGCAGAAGCAGCAGCAGCAGCAGCAGCAGCACAGAAGGCGCAAGCGCAAGGCAGAGGCAGCAGCGGCGGGAAGCAGCAAGCCGACGCTGCTGGTGCTGCTGCAAACGCAGCAGCACCAACAGCAACAGCATCAACAACAGCAGCAGAACCTGCTGCTGCTGCAAACGCAGCAGCAGCAGCAACACAGGGTGCACGACACAAACCTGCAGCAGAAGCAGCAGCAACACAGAGGGAGAGCCGGCGCAGCCGCAACAGCGGCCGTGCTGCAGCAGCTGCTGCTGCTGGTCAGCAACAGCAGCAACAGCAGCAGCAGCAGCAGCAGCATGGCGCTAGAGATGGAGTAGCTGCTCGCGAAGGTGCTGCTGCACACAAGAGCGCGCAGCAGCAGAAGGCCGCACCAGCAGCAGCAGCAGCAACAGCAACAGCAGCAGCAGCAGAATCCCACTCAGGCGTACAGCGAGAGAAAGGAGACAGAGGAGACAGGGGGCATAGAGGAGACAGAAGATCTGCAAGAGGTGGCCGCCTAGGCACGCAGGCTCTGCAGCAGCAGCAGCAGCAGCAGCAGCAGCAGGGATCTCCAGCAGGTGGTGCTTCTGCTGAAGGAATTCAGGGGACCTCCAAGGCGGCTGCTGCTCGCGGTGCTTCTGCAAAGGAGAAGCAGCAGCAAGGGCTTGCTGCAGGCAGCAGCAGGGCAGCAGCAGCAGCAGCAGCAGCAGCAGATGAGACGAAGGGCCGCCAACGGGGCCCTCCAGGAGATAGCCGCAAGGCGTGGGGTGCTGTCTCCTCAGGTGTGTCTCCCAGAGACAACAGACGCGCAGCAGCAGAGAAAGAAGCAGCAGCAGCTGCAGCAGCAACGCATCCTTCTGCCGGTGCAGCAGCAGCGCCTGCTGCTGCTCAGCAGCAGCAGCAGCAGCAGCAGCAGCAGCAGCAGCAGCAGCATGCAGGCAGCATCAGGCGGCATGCTAGTCAGGCTGTTTGGCTCCCAAAGACAAACAAGGCGCCACAGAAAGAGCAGCAGCAGCAGCAAGCAGCAGCAGCAGAGTCGTCATCTGGTGCAGCAGCAGCAGCAGAAACGCATCAAGAACCGCAGGTTTGGGCGAAGAAAGGCCGCGGGGGAGGCAGGAGAGGAGAACAAGCAGCAGCAGCAGCAGCAGGAGCAGCAGGTGGACGAAGCGGCGCTGCAGGGACGTCAGCAGATGCAGCAGCAGCAGCAGCAGCAGAAGACGATGACGGCTTCCAGGTGGTGAGAAATAAACGTAAAGAGCAGCAAGAAAAAAGAAAAGAGAGACTGGAGCAGCAGAAGCATGAGCGCAGAGAGGCCAGACGCCGTGAGCAGCAGCAGCAGCAGCAACAGCAGCAGCAGCTGCTGCAGCAACAGCAGCAGCAACAGCAGCAACAGCAGCAGCAACAACAGCAACAGCAGTCAAGCGCCACCGTCTCTCCTGTGCCCAAGGATGAGCCCTTGCCTTCGGCTGCGCAGCAGCAACAGGAGCAGCAGCAGCAGCAGCAGCAAGAGGTCTCCCAGCAGGAGCTTGACGAGGAGCAGCTTGAGTCAACGCCGGAGGTGCAGCAGCAGCTGCAGCAGCAGGAGCAGCAGCAGCTTCTGCTGCAGCCGCAAGCTGTTTCTGTTGCTGCCCCCGCAACACCGAGCAGCAGCAATTCTGCTGCAGAGGAGTTCTGTGATCAGCAGCAGGAGCAGCAGCAGCAGGAAGGAGACAGTGTGTCTCCTTCAGGAGACAGTGTTACAGCAGATGCAGCAGCAGCACTAGCGGACCAGTGGCAGCAGCAGCAACAGCAGCAGCCGCAGCAGCCGCATCCTATGATAGCTATACAGCCACAGCAGCAGCAGCAGCAGCAGCAGCAGCACACGGGGATGAGCCGCGCTAGCAGCCCTGGCACCCTAAGGGCGAGCGCAGACCCCTGGTATCCAACAGCAAACGGTGCAGCAGCAGCAGCAGCAGCAGCAGCAGCAGCAACCGCCACCTTGCCTCAGCAGCAGCTGCTGGCTTCCGTTGCGGCGCATCACCAGCAGCTGCAGCAGCTTCATCTGCGGCACATACAGCAGCAGCAGCTGTACCAGCAGCAGCAGCAACAGCAGCAACAGCAGCAGCAGGCTCCTCCTCCTCCTCACTCCCAGAAGACGTCTGCAGCAGGTGTAGGAGGAACTGCAGCAGCAGCAGCAGCAGCAGCAGCAGGATTCTCCCTCTGGAGCAGCAACTTCGCTCAGCCTGCTGCTGCTGCGCGAGTAGCACCAGATACAATTGCAGCAATATGGGCACGAGATCCAGGTGTATCTGCAGGGGGGCCTCAAGAGTTGCTTCCTCTGCAGCAACAACTGCAGCAGCAGCAGCTGCAGCAGCAGCAGCAACTGCAGCAACAACTGCAGCAGCAGCAGCTGCAGCAGCAGCAACTGCAGCAGCAGCAACTGCAGCAGCAAGCACAACCCCGAACCCTACACTTCTCTACACAACAAGTACACCCAGCGCTGCATCATCCCTCTTCTTTGCTGCAGGCAGATATAATGCATGCGCGGCAGCTGCTGCAGCAGCAGCACATAGGGGCAGTAGCAGCAGAGAGTGGGGACCCTTCTGGGGTGTACATGCAGCAGCAGCAGCATTTCCGCACTGCTGCTGCTGCTGCTGCTGCTGCAGCAGCAGCAGCAAGACCTAAAGACATGTTCGGGCCCTCTGCTCTTGTACAGGGAGCCCTGCCGCCTCCACATGGTGAGCGCTACCCTACGACTCCTGCTGCTGCTGCTGCTGCAGCAGCAGCTGCTGCTGCTGCTTCGCACTTCGCAGGTGTATCCACAGGCAGCACTTTCCATATGCAGCAGCAGCTGCTGCAGCCGGCGTACCATAGCTCGCAGCAAGCAGCAGCTGCAGCAGCAGCAGCAACCTCTTCTTACGCTCAGCAGCTGCAGCAGCAACATGAACGAGACCTCTGGGGTGATGCTGCTGCTGGAGCTAACCGCAATCCTGCTGCTGCAGCACAGGGCGGCCTTGACGCTCTGGAGCAGCAGCAGCAGCAACCGACATTCGTGCCCTATGTGCAGCAGCAGCAGCAGCAGCAGCAGCAGCAGCGGCAACGCAACGGGGCGTACGGCGTGCTGCCCCCTGCAGACGGAGGCCCGCTGCATGCGGGGACACCCAAATTTTATATGTAGCAGCAGCAGCAGCAGCAGCAGCAACTGCAGCAGGATCAGCAGCAGCAGGAACAGCAGCAGCAGGAACAGCAGCAGTAGCAGCAAGAAGAGCCATAGGGGCTTCATTTGTGTGTTGAAGCATCTGCTGCCCCTGCCGCAGCGGTCTCCTCCGGCTGTTTGCTGCTGCTGCTGCTGCTGCTGCTGCTCTTGCAGCAGCAGCAGCAGCAGCAGCAGTAGCAGCAGCAGGGAGACAGGATTTTGTTTTGAATTCGCCCTGAGTTATTCTTATTATTGTTAACAGCCGCATTAATAATAAAATAAAAGGAGACAGACAGCAGAAACAAAGAGAGATAAAAGATAAACAGCAGAAGAAGAGGTTTATTTATAAATTATATATAAATATTAATATATTTATATTTAAATATATTAATATATATTTATATAAATATATTAACATAAATATATAGACATACTTTTATATGTTTATATAGAAATGTTTACTGCTGCTACATACTTGTATATATAGATAAATATTTATTTATAAATAAATATTTATTTTTAACTATATAAACATTTAGACAGGTATATATATAAATATATATAAATGTATATATATATATATTTAATAATATATATATAAATATATATGTATCAATATATACATATATACGTATATATATATATATATTTATATGCATGCATTCGTATATATTTATGTATATAGATATGTATATATATATATATATATATATTTATATTTATTAATATATAAATATATATATTTATATTTATATATATATATATATATAATTATATGGAGGTGCTTGTTTTACTGGTTTGTATAAAACATATACATGAAGAAATACATAAATATAAATATATTTAAATATATATAAATATATTTATATTTATTTATATTTATATTTATTTATTTATATTATTATAATAATATACAGCGAACAAGCGACAGACAGTAATAACAAAAAGATAAAAAGAAAAGAAGAGACAGGAGACAGATACAGCAGACCCAACATATTAACAACACCTAAATGCATGCAAAATCTCTTGCTGCAGCAGCAGCAGCAAATGCTGCAGCAGCAGCTGCAGCAAGTGCTGCAGCAGGAAGTTCTGCAGCAGCAGGAGCAGCAAATGCTGCAGCAGCAGCAGTAGCAGTAGCAGCAGTAGTAGCAGCAAAGGCTGCAGCACCAGCAGTAGCAAATGCTGCAGCAGCGACAGTAGCAAATGCAGCAGCAGCAGCAGCAAATGCTGCTGCGGTGTATGTACAACTTGAGGAGTCTTGAGGCGCAGCTCCTGCTGTACATAGAGCACATACAAAACCCAGAGCAGCAGCAAACAAAACCCCACAAATCAACACAATCACACAAGCAGCAGCAGCAGCAGCAGTTGCTGCTGCTGCTGTTGTGCTGCTGCTGCTGCTGCTGCTGCTAGGGGCCCGAAGGTTTGAGTATCCTTCTGTCTGTTTGTGTCGGATGATTATTTAATTTTATTGCATTTCGCTATTTAAATTAAATTAAATTAAATTTAATTTTAAAATATAGTTTGGTTAGAAGGCTTTGAACGGTTTGGGTGTATAGGCAGCTCGACGTACTGTCGCCCTAAACCCTAAACCCTAAACCCTAAACCCTAAACCCTCATCTCTTTTACCTCCTTTTCTATTGTCTGCTTCCTTGCAACGCTTCATAAGCGTTTAATTAGCTCAAAGCCTAAACCCTAACATCCTAAACCCTAATCGCTAAACCCTAAACCCTAAACCCTAAACCCTGAGCCCGCCTCTATTGGGGGCCCCTTAGTCTAATCTTGTTGCTGCTATGTGACGAACGCCCGCCTCCAAACCCTAAACCCTAAACCCTAAACCCCAAACCTTAAACCCTAAACCCTAAACCCTAAACCCTAAACCCTAAACCCTAAACCCTGAGGGTTTTGAGGAAGGAATGGTTTTGCTGGAGGTTTGGGAGGCCCTTCCTCTCTCGCTGCAGCGGCGTCTCTCTCACTTGAGGTGTATATACACCCGAAATAAATTTAAATTGCTGCGCCTAGACAGACGCACAGGCATCTTCAGCGCAGGTAAACACTAGGGTTTAGGGTTTAGGGTTTAGGGTTTAGGGTTGTTAGGGTTTAGGGTTCAGGGTTTCTAGGGTTTACGGTTTACGGTTTAGGTCTAGGGGTGCTAGGGTTTAGGGTTGTTAGGGTTTAGGGTTTAGGGTTTAGGGTTTAGGGTTTAGGGTTTAGGGCTTAGGGTTTTAGTTAGGCGTGCTGATAGCATACGCGTCGGGCTATTCGCTGGTGCTGTTGTTTATGCTGCTGCTGCTGATGCTGCTGCTGGTGATTGTTCTGCTGCTGAGGCTGCTGTTGCTGGGGCTGCTGCTGGGGCTTATGCTGCTGCTACTGTTCAGCTCTCCTGCTGCCGCTGTGCTGCTGTTGCTGCTTCTCTTTGAGCTGCTGCAGCTTCTGCTGCTGCTTATGCTGCTGCTGCTCATGCTGCTGCTGCTGCTGTTTATTCTGCTACTACGTGTACTGCTGCTGCTTCTGCAACTGCTGCTTACGATGCTGCTGCTGCTGCTGCTGCTGCTGCTTATGCTGCTGCTGGTGCTTTTGCTTCCGCTGCTTGTTCTGCTACTGCCCGTGCTGCTGCTGCTTCTGCAGCTGCTGCTTATGTTGCTGCTGCTGGCGTTGGTTTGTTTCTTTTGATGTTGCTTTGTGTTCTGCTGCTGCTGCTTCTGCTGCTGCTGCTTATGCTGCTTCTGCATATGCCGCTGAGGTTATGCTGCTGCTGCTCTTCTGGTGTTGCTACTGCTGCATGAGCTGCTGCTGCATCTGTTGCTGCTGTTGCTGCACTGTCCGTGCTTATACTAGTGCTGCTTCTGCTGGTGCTGCTGCTGCAGCGCTGCTGCGTTTTTGCCGCTGCAGCAGCTGTTGGATTTGCTGCTGCTGCTGTTTTTGCTGCTGTTGCTACTATTGAGAAGCGAGCAGCAGCAGCAGCAGCTGCTGCTGCTGCAGCTGCAGCAGGAGCATTAGAGCTTTGCAGCATAGCAGTCTTTATATATTGCTTCATTAGCACTCAAAAGAACAGCAGCAGCAACAGCAGCAGCAACAGGAGCAGCAGCAGCAGCAGGTTGTGTGAATATGCTTGTTGCATGCGCATGCAGCACTTCCTATGTCTTTGCTGCTGGGGTCTACAATTGCTGCAGCAACATTTATCCTCGATAAACAAATGGAAGTAAAGTACTGGAGGAGACAGTCTCTCTCAGACAGAGAGCTGCAGCAGCAGCAGCAGCAGCAGCAGCTTATTCACTTCCTGCAGCAAACAACACCGCCAGAAGAACTAGATAACTCGGTGCCGCTACCAGGCAAACAAACTGCAGCAAAGCAACAGCAGCAGCAACAGCAGCAGCAACAGCAATAGCTGCAGCAAGAGCACCAGCAGCAGCAATAGCTGCATCAAGAGCACCAGCAGCAGCAATAGCTGCAGCAATAGCCGCAGCAATAGCTGCAGCAAGAGCTGCAGCAGTAGCTGCAGCAAGAGCACCAGCAGCAGCAATAGCTGCATCAAGAACACCAGCAGCAGCAAGAGCTGCAGCAATAGCTGCAGCAAGAGCTGCAGCAGCAGCAGCAGCAATGGCTGCAGCAAGCTACATATAACTATTTTTGCAGAGACGCATACTTATATATATTTATATATACATAACATACAACTATTTAGATATACTGATAATATATATATATATATATACATATATATATATATATATGTATATATCACCAGGAGCAGCAGCAACAGCTGCAGCAACAACAGAAGCAATAGCTGCAGCAACAACAGCAGAAACAGCAGCAGCAATAGGTGCAGCAACAAAAGCAGAAACAGCAGCAGCAATAGCTGCAGCAGCAGTAATAACAACAACATCAGCACCAATATAATTGCTGCAGCAGCAGCTACAGCTGCAACACCAGCCCTATTCAGCAGCAGCACCATCAACAGCAACAGCAGCAGCAGCAGCAGCAAGGACAACACAACAGACGCTCAGGAATGTAAAAAAAAGGGAGGGGTCTTGCTGCAGCAGCAGCAGCAGCAACAACAACAAAATAAGCTTTTGCTGCAGCAGCAACACACCGCACGAGTATGCTGCTGTTGTTGCTGCTGCAGCACAGTCAAGAAATCTAAGTCAATACACACCTGCAGCAGCAGGAATCCCTGCTGCTGCTGCTGCTGCTGCTGCATTAACTGCAGCAACTGCTGCACCAGTTGCTGCGGAAGCTACTACACAAGTAACCCAAAGCCCTGTTGCAGGGTTTGCTGCTGCTGCTGCTGCATCCTGCTGTTGAGGACTGCAGGAAGAACTGCTGCTGCAGTTTCTCCTGCTGCTGCAGTTGCTTCTGGTGCAGCTGCTACTGTTGCAGTTGCTTCTGCTGCAGTTGCTTCTGCTGCAGTTGCTTCTGCTGCTGCTGCTTCTGCTGCTGCTGCTTCTGCTGCTGCTGCTGCTGCTGCTGCAGCAGGGTTTACTGTTTGAGGGGCTTTAGGCCTAAGTTTTGTCGAATTGAATTCCATTCGGAGACAGACAACTCGCCTTCATGCTGCTTCTTTCTTTCTGTCTTCACCTCCGCCTTGCTGCTGCTGCTGCTGCTGCTGCTGCTGCTGTCGGTTGGCCTGGTGGAGTGTTTGTCTCTCTCGCTTTTTGTTTTTTCTCGCTGCTGTCTGTCTCTGTCTCTGTCTCTGTCTCTGTCTCTGTCTCTTTCTTCTCTGTCTCCTTTTGCTCTGTCTCTGTCTCTCCTTTCTCTGTCTCTGTCTCCTCTTTCTCTTTCTCTTTCTCTTTCTCTATCTCTATCTCCTCTTTCTCTTTCTCTATCTCTATCTCTGTCTCTTTCTCTATCTCTTTCTCTGTCTCTGTCTCTTCTGTCTCTATCTATAAACCTGTCTGCATCTCTATCTCTATCTCTGTCTCTTCTTTCTCTTTCTCTATCTCTGTCTCTTTCTCTGTCTCTGTCTCTGTCTCTATCTCTATCTCTGTCCCCTCCTCTGTCCCTTTCTCTGTCTCTGTCTCCTCCTCTGTCTCCCCTTTCTCTATCTCCTCTTTCTCTTTCTCTTTCTCTTTCTTCTCTTTCTCTGTCTCTTTCTCTGTCTCCTCCTCTCTCTCCTCTGTCTCCTCCTCTGTCTCCTCTTTCTCTGTCTCCTCTGTCTCTGTCTCTGTCTCTGTCTCTTTCTCTGTCTCTTTCTCTGTCTCTTGGATAGTAATCGATTTTTCTTCGTTTTACTTCATCCGGAGCTGTCTCCTCTTTGATGAGTTGCATCTGTCTCTCTTCTTCAATCTCTTTTTGCTGCTGTAGCTGCCGATTACGTTGCTGTAGCACATGCTGCTGGAGTTTATGCTGCTGCTGCTGCAGCAAGCGTTTACTCAGCAGCAATGCATGCGCTTGGCTGTCTGTAAGAGGCAAGGACTTCTCTTGTTCAGAGACCTCTACATCTAAAGCAGATAAACGTAAGGGTGGGAGCAGCTGCTGCTGTACTAATGCTTTTCTTTTAACAATAGGCGGTAAGTCTATATCAAATAAAGTATTCTTTCTTAAGCAATTATCGACAAAGACATCCATATAAGTCAATGAGAATGCTCCTGAGTTATCTCTTACTCTTAACTTTCTATAATCTGTTAATAAAGGTTCCAGGTGTATATACACCTCATCACTAGCAGCAACAAGTCTTAAATAAAAGACAGCAACAGCTCTTAAGTACTTAAAATCTTCTTGTTTAATATACTCTAGTATAATTTGTTTCTCAGGCTGTATCTGCAGGAGCTTTAAGACAATACACAGAAAAGGTGAAGCACTTCTTATACCCCCGTAGCTGCCCCCTATATATTTTAAGTCTATACATAAATCTATTATATTTTCTGCTGTCGCAGCAAAACATTCGTCCTTCCAGTAAAAAGACTCATATACTTTGCGTCGCATTATTCGACTAAATAACAGCTGAGGGTTCTTACCGTGTACAGACACTGCAGCAGCATCTGTTCTATTCGCCATCTTCTTTAATTATATATAATAATATAATTATATTTATATATATATATTATTTATATATCTTTATCTATTTATCTATTTACTTTATTTGTATATATATATATATATAGATATAGATATAGATAATTTCTTACACTCGTATATTTATCTCAGAAGAAACAACATTATATATATATATTATCGATAAAAAAATATTATCATCATTTACACCCCAATTGCTGCTGCTGCTGCTGCTGTTGTTGCTGCTGCTGCTGCTGCTGCTGTTTATAGGCCCTCCAATATGCTGCTGAGATACGCAATTCTGCTGCAGACTTCTTATCACAAAGAAATTAAAAAAGAAAAAGCAAGAAAAGAAAGAAAGTCAGGAGATGCAACGGTCGCTGCTGCTGCTGCTGCTGCTGCTGCTGCAACGCCGGCAGCAGAAACAGCAGCAGCAGTCAGCAGCACGAGTAAAGGAAATCCTAAAGAGAGTTCATGCAAAGAAAATAAACAAAAGATAAATACAAACAAAAATCTTTTCCGTAGAACATCACAGAGTGCTCCGCCCCAGCAGCAACATCAGCGTCGGCTGCATGCATGCGCTGCATGCAGCAGCAGCAGCAACAGCAGCAGCAGCAGCAACAGCAGCAGCAGCAAGAACCCTCCTCATTATTTATCTATAAACCCAATAACAACTCTTTCTGCTGCATTTTCTCATCACCCCTCGCTGCAGTTCCTGCTGCTGCGCCTGCCGCAGGCAGCAGCAGCAACAGCAGCAACTGCAGCAGCAGCAGCAGCAACAGCAACTGCAGCAACAGCAGCAGAAGCACCTTCCGACAGCCCCAAGAATGACTTCCTCTTTGAACTGTGGAGCGGGGCATCCGCAGCCACCGAACAGCAGCAAGGACCGCAGCAGCAGCAGCAGCAGCAGCAGCAGTGCGTTTCAGGAACCCTCAATATGCGTTGAAGCGCCGCCTCTGCTCCGCCAGATTATCGTAAGCGAAACCCTAAACCCTAAACCCTAAACCCTAAACCCCAAGCCCTATATGCATAGCATTTGTTGCAGAAGGCCAGTAGCGAATAGAGTCTTTGCGTGTGTTTGCTGCTGCAGCAACGCCAAGAGCAACAGCAGCAGCAGCAGCAGCAGCAGCAGCAGCAAGAGGAGCCGCTGCTGCTGCAGCTGCCTGGCTCCTGGGCTTCCGGTGTCTCCTTTGGTGTTGAAGTCCTACACTGGCTGAGCTTGCCGCAGCAGCTGCAGCAGCTTCAGCAGCGCGCAGCAGCAGCAGCAGCAGCAGCGCCTGGAGCAGCAGCAGCAGCAGACGCAGCAGCAGACAAGGGTGAAGCAGCTGCTGCAGCAGCAGATGCAGCAGCAGCAGAAATCGCCGATGTATATACCGTAAGAGGAGAGGCAGCCGCTTGCCTCCAGCGCAGCAGCAGCAGCAGCAGCAGCAGCAGCAGCGGCAAGGACAGCGCAACTGTTTATAAGTGTTGCTGCTGCTGCCGCTGTCACTCAACCGGCAAAAAGAAATCTCGCAGCAGCTGCGGCTGCTGGGCTGTGCAGCAGCAGCAGCAGCAGCAGCAGCAGACGAAGCATGGCGCGTTAGCAACAGCTAGCTGGTCGCCAGTTGCTGCAGCAGCAGCAGAAGCCGCCGCAGCAGCAGAAGCAGCAGCAGCAGCAGGAAGAGGGCGATTCAAGGACGCCCGGCAGCAGCATGAGGAGCAGCTGCAGGAGCTGCTGCTGCAGCAGCAGCAAGACAGAAACCTATGGGCTCCTCCTGTTGCTGCTTTTGGCGACCGCTGGGAGTTTACAGCAAATCCGCAGGCTGTACAGACAGCTTGCTGCTGCGCTGCTGCTGCTGCTGCTGCTGATGCTGCAGCAGGCCCGGAAAACAGTAGCAGCAGCAGCAGCAGAAGCAGCAGCAAGTGCGAGCTGCACTGCGTGCGTCAGGTGAATATGCTGTGTGCGTCGCTGCCGGAATCTGCAGCAGAGGGGGGGCGAGGTGCTGCTGCTGCTGCTGCTCCTGCTGCCGCTGCTGCTGCTTCAAGCTTCTGCCTGCCAGCAGCAGCAGCAGAAGCAGAAGCAGCAGCAGCACCAACAGCAGGCTGCGCCTCCCCCTTATCCCCCGACCCTGAAGCAGCAGAAAGTATGCTTAGAAACTGGGAGCAGCGGTACTTCCGCAGACAAGAAGCAAACCTCAAACAGCAGCAGCAGCAGCAGCAGCAGCAGCAGCAGCAGCAGCAGAAGCGCCCACTGCCGCCGCTGCCTTTGTCTCATGCTGGCATTTTGAGTTTTCTTCCGCCGCTCTGCAACTGCGGCAATAAAAATATATACCAGCTGTGGCTGCAGCAGCAGCAGCAGCAGCAGCAGCAGCAGCAGGAGAAGCAGCAGCAGCAACAGGAGAAGCAGCAGCAGCAGCAGGAGAAGCAGCAGCAGCAACAGGAGAAGCAGCAGCAGCAGCAGACGGTCGGGGGCTCGGAGGCTGGCGCTGGTGTTGCTTCTCTTGCTGCAGCACCAAAAGCTGCAGCAGCAGCAGCAGCAACAGCAGCTGCTGCTGATGGTGCTGAAAGCAGCAGCAGCAGCAGCAGCAGCAGCAGCAGCTCTTGCGACGCGGAGATCGCACAAAGCGGCATCAACAGCAGCAGCACCACCACCAGCACCAGCAACAGCAGCAGCAGCAGCAGCAGCAGCAGCAGCAGGTTGCTGCCCCGAGTGTGTCCTCAGCGTGGGTGTGAGGGTTTATTATATATTCCTTCTTCTTTAATTGAGGTGCCTCTAGTTAGAGGCAGAGAGACGCTGCAGTGTTTAGCAGCAGAAATGGCTAGCAGCAGCAGCAGCAGCAGCAGCAGCTGCAGCACCATGGATATCTATTTAGGAGCGCTGCGCAGCACTGCTGTTATTGTCTGCTGCAGCAAGCAGCAAGAGGCTTGCTGCTGGGAGATATTAGGAAGTCTAGGCCTTAGAGCAGCAGCAGCTGTCTTTGATGTTGTATGCGAGCCCTTTAATCCATTTAGTTCTGCTGCTGCTGCTGCTGCTGCTGCTGGGGCGACGGCGGCTGCGGAAGGGGAGGGGGAGGCTGGTGGAGAAGCTGCAGCAGCAAGTGCTGCTGCTGCTAATGCTGCTGCTGCTGCTGCAGCAGGAAAGGAAGACGCCATGCTGCAGGAACTGCTGCAGAAGCTGCAGCAGCAGGAGGATCAGCAGCAGCAGCAACAGCAGCAGCAGCAGCAGCAGCGCAGCGGCAGCAGCAGCAGCACGTGCAGCAACAGCGGGACCAACAGCAGCAACAGCAGCCTCGTCAGCGGCACCAGCAGCAAAGGCAGCAGCAAGAGCAGCAGCAGCAGCAGCAACAACAACAACAACAAAGGCATCCCTTTCTCTAATAAGAGGCGTCCATACACCGTAAAGCTGCGCGGCGTAGGAACCATCAAGCGGCAACGGCGCAGCAGCCAGCAGCAGCAGCAGCAGCAGCAGCAGCAGCAGCAAGATGAGGCTAGCTGCTGCAGCAGCGGTTACTCTACCAGCTCCGACTCAGAGGAGGAAACAAACCCCGGGCTGGCGCTGCTGGAAGCTGCTGCTGCTGCTTTAGGCCTTCTAGACAACAACCAGCAGCAGCAGCAGCAGGTGCAGCAGCAGCAGCAGCAGGTGCAGCAGCAGCAGCAGCAGAACCGCGTGAAGCGAGCGCTGCAGCAGCCACTTACGGAAGAGATGGTGCTGCAATTGGCGCAGGATCTATTTGAATCCAGCAGCAGCAGCAGCAGCACGAGCAGCAGCAGCAGCAGCAGCAGTGGCAGCAGCAGCACGAGCGCCATCAGCAGCAGCAGCAGCAGCAGCAGCAGCAGCAGCAAGGAGTCCTTGGTGCCTGCAAGCAGCAGCGAGACCCCCAGCAGCAGTTTGTCGCTGCTAACAGACGACCCGTTGATAGAAAAATATAAACAGACGTTAGGAATTGTTTGGGGTGCAGCAGAAGAAGAAGAGCTGCAGCGCTTGCTGCACCTCCAGCAGCAGCAGCAGCAGCAGCAGCAGCAGCAGCAGAAGCAGCAGCAGCAGCAGCTGATGCAAAGGGAGGGACAGCAGCAGAGAGTAAAACAGCCAGGATAGGTAATAGACAGGGTTCACTACGTTGAGCTGCTGCTGCTGCTCCTGCTCCTGCTCCTGCTCCTGCTGCAACAGCAGCAGCACAAGCAGCAGCAGCACGCACAAGCAGCAACAGCTACTGCTGCTTCCGCATCTGCAGCTACTGTTGTGCAGCAGCACAAACAGCAGCAGCTACTGCTGCTTCCGCTTCTTCTGCTGCTGTTGTGCAGCAGCAGCAGCTCTTCGCAGTCTGCGGAGAGACAACTGCAGCAGAAGCTGCTGTTTTGCTGTTGGTTGCTGCAGCGCCTGCTGCATACACCGCCAACTTCACATCAAACTATCGGCAGAGTCTGCTGCTTGCTGCTGCTTGCTGCTGCTATTTGCTGCTTGCTGCTGCTTGCTGCTGCTATTTGCTGCTTGCTGCTGCTTGCTGCTGCAGATGCTGAGGTCTGCTGTTTGCTGTTGCTATTAGCTGCTATTTGCTGCTGCTTGATGCTGCAGATGTTGAGGCTTGTTCCTTGCTGTTGCTATTTGCTGCTGCTATTTGCTGCTGCTATTTGCTGCTGCAGCCTGGATGAGGTCTGCTGCTTGCTGCTGCTATTTGCTGCTGCTATTAGGAGACAGAGACAGATAAAATAGAGAGGAAGAAAGACACAGGAAGAAAGACAGACAAATATAAATATCAAGACAGAAGGAGACAAACAAAGGAGACAAAAAGAGAAAGGAGACAAATAGACAGAGACAGAACCTCTCAGGTGTATAGGCAGCTCAGCAGATCCCTTCGCTTCAATTTCTCTGCAGCAGCAGCATCTAAGGCTGTCTCCAAGCAGGAGCAGCAGTAGCAGCAGCAGCAGCAGTAGCAGCAACAGCAGCAGTAGAAGCAACAGCAGCACGTGCTGCTGTGTGATGATGCCCTGTACAGCTGACAGCAGCAAGACAGCTGCACTCGGGCTGCCACAGCAGCACTGCAGCAGCAACAGTAGCAGCAGAAGCAGGAAGAGTAGCAGCAGCAGCAGCAGCAACTGTAGTAGCAGCAGCAGCAACAGTAGCAGCAGGGCCTCCTTAACGCTGCGTCGCAGCTAGGAGGCACGCGGCGAAAGGCAGCATGCGCGCTGGTCGTAGCAGCAGCAGCAGCAGCAGCAGCAGCAGCAACAGCAGCAACAGTAGCAAGAGAAGCAGCAGCAGCAGCAGCAAAATAAAACCTTAACCAGCAGGGCGGCGGCGTGGCTGTCTGATAAATGAGGGTTTAGGGTTTAGGGTTTGGCTTCGTAAGATGAAGCCAGAACAAATAAACTAGCTGCAGCTAGCTACAGCTAGCTAAAGCTAGCTAGAGCTTGCTGCAGCTAGCTACAGCTAGCTGCAGCTAGCTGCATCTGGCTACAGTTAGCCTAGAGATCCGCCATAGAAGGCCCAGAAGAACTCAAAAAAGCAATCCCTAAAATAACAATTCCTGCTGCTGCTGCTGCTGCTGCTGCTGCTGCTGCTGCTGCTGCAGGTGCTGCTGCTGCTGCAGGTGCTAGTGCTGCTGTTGCTGCTGCAGCACTACTGATTATTCAGGAGGAATCATCTTATATTTTCTCATTGCCTCCTCTAAGAGCTGCAAATTAAAGCCTTCCCCTGACCACAAATGCAGCACACGCATCTGCTGCTGCTGCTGCTGCTGCTGCTGCTGCTGCTGCTATTGGTGCTGCTGCTACTGGTGCTGCTGCTACTGGTGCTGCTGCTGCTGTTGCTGCTGCTGCGGTTCCTCCGCTTGCTGCTGCTGCTGCTACTGCTCAGCAGAAAGTTCGCGGCGCATGGGAAGCGCACTAAACCCTAAACCCTAAACCCCAAACCCTAAACCCTAAACCCTAAACCCCAAACCCCAAACCCTAAACCCTAAACCCTAAACCCTACCTCCAATCTCATCCAAGCCAACGAGGGAATGTTCTGTTTGTCCATTTCGCACCAAAACAGCCTGCAGCAGCGCACAAGGGTTTAGGGGTTAGGGTTTGGGGTGAGCAGCCGTGACAACACCACCCTGTTCTAAACCCTAAACCCTAAACCCTAAACCCTAGACCGCTCACCGTTGGAAGACACCAAATTTTTAGTCCTGAGCAAACAAACAAAACACTCCTTCCCTCAACCTGCTCAGCTAGCTGTCTAGCTAGCTAGCAATATAGCTAGCTGTCTAGCTAGCTAGCTAGCAGTACATATAGCTAGCTGTCTAGCTAACTAGCTAGCAGTATAGCTAGGCCACTAGCTAGCTGCCTATCCGTCAATATGTCTGCCTAGCTAGCTAGCTACCTAGCTAGCTGTCTAGCTAGCTAGCTACCTAGCTAGCTGTCTAGCTAGCTATCTACCTAGCTAGCTGTCGAGCTAGCTAGCTGGCTTGCCAGCTAGCTAGCTAGCTGTCTATCCGTTTGCTTGCATTCCTAGCTAGCTAGCTAGCTTTAAGTAGCAAGAAAAGGTCGCAGTGTTTGGAGTTAAGTGTGCCGTGGTGCAGGGTTTAGGTGTCAGGGCACCCTTAGGGTTTAGGGTTTAGGGTTTAGGGTTTAGGGTTTACGTTCCGCTAGAAAGGGGGCCTTCTCCGCTTCAATTGCACAAACCCTCACAAGATAATGTTTGCGAGAAAAGGTTCGCCAGACACTCCACAGCCTCTCCCAAAGAGCGAAGGACCGACGATAAAACAGCAAAACCTAAACAAACCATCAACAACGAGGGTTTAGGGTTTAGGGTTTAGGGTTTAGGGTTTGGGGTTTAGGGTTCTAAGGAGAAAGAAGGGGAAGCGAGAGACGCAGATATATAACGTGGAAGCAGAATAAGAGAGTTCCTGGGGAGTGAGAAAACAATCATTTAGGGTTTAGGGTTTAGGGTTTAGGGTTTAGGGTTTACAACAAGTTGTGTCTTCTTTGCAATAGCGAAAAACTCTTTTTCTTCCTGCAGCTCTGTTATACCCCCGTGTCCTTCCTGCAGCAGCTGCTGCTGCTGCTGCCACTGTTTGCGTCTCTGCTGTCGTAGCCTCTCTAACTCCTCATCTGCATCTTCTTCTCCCTGCTGCTGCTGCCGCTGCTGCCGCTGCTGCTGCTGCTGCTGCTGCTGCTGCTGCTGAAGTGCAGCATCTAAAGCTGCTTCCTTCTCCTGCAGAGCTCGCAGCACCTGCTCTTCTACGCGCTTCTCAATCAGAGAGGCGCCACCCTTCCCTGAGTCCATCTCCTGAACCTTAAACCCTAAACCCTAAACCCTAAACCCTAAACCCTAAACCCTAAACCCTTGAGCCTAAGACCGCAGCCACAAAGGCGGCTTTAAGCGGTATACGAAACACCTGCACAGATATTATTTCTATTACTGCTGCTGCTGTTCCTGTTCCAGTTGCTGTTGCGGCTACCGCTGCTGCTGCTGCTGCTGCTGCTGCAGCAGCTGAGGTGTATTGACAGCTTGTATAAGACAAAGAGAAATAAAAGACGAAAAAATATATTTATTTGTTTTTCAATGTCTCTAATGCAGCACGCAAATCCAGAGGGGCCCCGGGCCCCCTAGAAAGACTCAATTGAGGGCATGCGGTCGCCGTGCTGCTGCTGCTGCTGCTGCTGCTGTCCTGGTGCAGTAGCAGCAGCAGCAGCAGCAGCAGCAAAGGTAACAGCAAGAAATTCAACAAGAGAATGTAAACAAAATAAAAAACAAATTTGTTTATAACCAACTCCAGGAATGATAGTTGTTAGGAAATAGAACTAAATTACTCTCAATGCAGCAGCAGCAGCAGCAGCAGCTGCTGCTGCTGCTGCTGCTGCTGCAGCGCATGCAGCAGCAGCAGCAGGAGAGGCGTGCTCAGGGCAGCACCGCAGGCAGCAACCTCCCCTTATCTACTCTATCCAGACTTTAAATTGTTATTACACAGCAGCAGGATCTCCTTGTTGCAGCAACAGCAGCAGCAACAGCAGCAGCAGCAGCAGACCGTAACGCCAGCACCCGCAGCAGCAGCAGCCGCAGGAGCAGCAGCAGCAACAGCAGCAACAGCCTCCAGCAGCAGCTCCAGGAAGCCGCCGCATACATTATAAACTCTGCATGAAGTCAAGGTGTCTAGTAGCTGCTGCAGCACGAAGTAAGAGCACCAACACAGCAGCAGCAGCGAGCACCGCAGCAGCATCACAGTGTTACTCCTATTCCTGCTGCTGCAGCAACTGGAACTCTTGTATTTCTAGCAGGACAGTTCGTGAGGTAGCAGCTGCTGCAGCAATGAAGCAGCAACACAGCAGCAGCAGCAGCAGCAGCAGCAGCAGCAGCAGTAGGAGACAAGAAGGGATGTGAATAGGGGGAAGCATTACCTTGTAGCTTCTGCTGCTTTTGCTGTCGCTGTTGCTGCATCTGGCTCAAGTCGGCAACTGCTGCAGTGCTAGCAACAGCAGCAGCAGCACTTGCTGCTGCTGCTGCTGCAGCAGCAGCAGCATCCGGACCCATCCTCTTCAGTGTTATTGTTATTTGTTTATGTTCTTTGAATATATGTTTCTTCGTTAATATACCCCTCAAAATAACTCTTTTTTCTCTATCTGCCGCTGCCGCTGCCGCTGCTGCTGCTGCTGCTGCTGCTGTTGCTGCTGCTGCTGCTGCTGCTGCTGCAGGATGTCGCTGGTGTGCGCGGTAACGGGGGAGGTGCCGGAGGAAGCAGTTTACTGCAGCAAGACAAATCTGCTGTACGAGAAGAGAGTTATTTTGAAGCATATTGCAGCAACTGGCGTCTGCCCTGTCTCCTCGCTGCAGCTAGAACCACATGATCTGCTTCCAGTCAAGAGTAAGCCCTGCTGCTGCTGCTGCTGCTGCTGCTGCTACCGATGCTGCCGCTGCTGCTGCTGCTACTGTTGATGCTGCTCCTGTTGATGCTGCTGCTGCCGTTGCTCCCGTTGCTATTGGTGCTACTGTTGCTGCTGCTATTGCTGCTGTTCGTAATTCTGGTGCTGCTGCTGCTAGTACTTCTGTTGCTACTGTTGCTGCTGCTGTTAATGCTGCTGCTGCTACTGCTGAGGCGGAGACGGCTGTGCTTGTCTCTGCTGTTTTTGGTCTGTTGCTGCTGCTGCTGCTGCTGTTGACGCAGCTGCAACGCAGCGTCTGTGTTTGCTGCTGCCCTCGTTGCTGCTGCTTTTGCTGCCATTGCTGCTGTTTCTGAAGGACGGCACTTGCTGCTGCCTTTCAGAACAGGCTGCAGCACCACATCCGCTGCATCTGTTGCTTCTGCTGCTTCTGCTGCTGCTGCTGCTGCAGCAAACCCTACGATAAAGCCGCGTCCGTTATCTGCTTCTTCAATCCCCGGGCTATTGAGCTGTCTCCAAACAGAGTGGGATGCCTTAATGTCTGAGGCGTTCTCTCTTAAAACGCATCTCGAACAGGTCTGCTGCTGCTGCTGCTGCTGCTGCTGCTGCTGCTGCTCCCGATGCTGCGGCTGGTGCTGGTGTTGATGCTGCTGCGTTTGGTGAGAGTAGTGCTGTCTCTATTGCTGCTGTTGTAATCCTGCTTCTTAACAGCTGCTGCTGCTGCTGTTCTCCTCCCCTGTTATCCCTTATCCTTCCTGCTGCTGTTGCTGCTGCTGCAGGTTAGGAAGCAGCTGGCGCATGCACTGTATCAGCAAGATGCAGCAACACGCGTCATTGCGAGGCTGCTGAAGGAGAGAGACGCAGCTCAGCAGCAGCTGCAGCAGCAGCAGCAACTGGTGCTGCAGCTGCAGCGTTCTGCTGCTGCTGCTGCAGACAGCGCAGACGCGGACCTCGGTATGTGCAGCAGCAATAGCGGCAACAACAACAACAACAACAGCAGCAGCAGCAGCAGCAACAGCAGCAGCAGCACCAGTTTTAGCATCATCCCTTACGACTCCCACTGCGGATTCAGTCTCCTACTGATGGCTGTGCTGCTGCTGCTGCTGTTGCTGCTGCTGCTGCTGCTGCTGCTGCTGTTGCTGCTGCTGCTGCT